CCTTCAAGGCTCAGGGGTCCAAGATTATCTTCTGTGTCTGTGTTAATTGGTTTCCCTTTTCTTTGTTGAAGAGGGTCTGTGCAATCCTTCTGCCTAGTCTGCCATCTTGCCCCTACCTTATAAGTTTTAAATGACGGAAATGGTTAACATGCAGGGCTGCTAATAGAAAGGTTACAGGTTCAAGTCCACCCAGAGGTACCTGAGAAGAAAGGCCTATCAGTCTATTTCTGAAAAATCAGCCATAGAGAACCAAGGAAGCACAGTTCTACACTGACATATATGGCATCATCATGAGTCAGAGTTGGCTTGACAGTAACTGGTACTGGTTAGGTTTAATATGGGGTGGATGTAAAGGAAGACAAGTTCCAGATACCACATACTCATTTGATTTAGGGAAGGATCAATTCAATCTTGAAATTTCATGAAGCTGGAAAGAACTGGGAGGGTTAATGATTTCAGACATGCCCTAACTCAGTTGCTGGTGAAAGATAGGTGGGTGGCCACTTGAAACAAGAGTATCTCAGCATGGTGGGCAGTGGTATGTATTATTTATGCTCCCATGTTGTCAGAGTGAATCCAGACTCTGCAAACCATCATTTTTGATATGTACTTTTGCTTATGGGTCTTGATTGTCTCCATAAAAGCTTAAGTTTTTACGGTTATTGTTTTGTTGCTTTTAAATTAGTCTTAACCTCTCTTGGATATTTTCCTGTTGTCCTGGCAAAAACTGCCCTATATTATTGTTTGGGATACTAAGTCCTGGATCTTCTAGGGTCAAAGTAACTGAAGAGAATGAACTTGTTCAGGGAAAGCTATGTAGCCAGAGGAAATATCCTTATCTTTCTGGGTTCTTGGAGGACTCTAAGACCAATCATAGACTAGAGATAAGTCACAGTTTGTGGTTGAAGCAACTTTTGCCTGACCCAATTCCTTAACATAGGAGCTCTGGTGGCATAGTGCCTAAGGCACTTGACTGCTAACCAGAAGGCTGGTGATTGAAACCCACCAGCCACTCTGCGGAAGGAAGATAGGGAACTCTACTTCCGTAGTCACACTGCCTTAGAAACCCAAGGAAGGGTAGCTATGAGTTGGATCTGACTTGATGGCACATAACAACAACAACAATTCCTTAACATAAACAAGTTTTTTCGGCAAGGGGAACTCAAATGAACAAGTTTTCTACTAGAAGTGCCCAGGAACCCTGATTTGGGACACACACTCAGAGGAGTTATTTGCTTTCACAGTTTTCAAATACATCATGTTTTCACAGAATTATTTCATGATGGTGTCTTTTTTATAAACAATTTGGGCTAGTGACTATTAAGATGTCTTGTGTCTGGCTGTCTTTTTAAAAAGCTATATGTCAAAACAGGAGTTTATTATTGGCAATATGGTCAGTCCTGACTCTTCCCAAGTTTTGCTTCATTAGAAAGGATTCCAAGTGTCACATGATGAGTACTTTTTATTATTCTTTAATACAACTATGAATAATTCAGGAATTTGGCTCCTCATTGAAAAACCAAAATTCTAGGAATAAAACTAATCAATTATATATATAATTATATAAATATATATATTATAAATATATATATTTATAAAAAGCTCAAGAGAAAACTGCAGAATACACAGTCAACAAATTCACATATCTTGCTTTTACTTTGTTCCATGGACCCATAGCTAACTGCCAGACCTTCACTGAGGATGTCTGTAGTGAACATGACAGATTTAGCAAAGTATTGACTACAGAAGTGACAAAGTGATTTCAGAAAACAACTACATGTTTTCATGCCCATGGATCCTAAAGAAAGCAGAAACATTGTTAACTCTGGATATACAAATGATATTAGAAGCCCAAAAGAACAACTTTGATTATACTTACCAAATTGGGGCAAGTATTTATTAAGTACAACACTAAAAATGCTTGATTTGATTTTGTACACACTTGACAACAAAGAAACAGTTGCCATCCAGTCTATTCAGACTCACAGCAATCCCATGTGTGTGACAGCAGAACTGTGCTCCATAAGGATTTCAGTGGATGATTTTTTCAAGTAGATTGCAGGCATTTATTTCAAGCCACTTCTAAGTAGGCTTGAACCTTTGAGTTGGCAACTGAGCATGTTAACTATTTGCACCAACCGGGAACTCTATACACAAATGTAAGTGGTATCAACCATTGCACAACACTACCTCCACTGTCACTGAGTCAATTCAGACTCATTGCTCTTTGTGACCCCCATTGGGTTTCCAAGGCAGTAAATCTTTATGGAAGTAGATTGCCCCATCTTCCTTCCGTGGAGCACATGGTGGTTAGCAGTCAAATGTCTTAGGCACTGTGCCACCAGAGCTCCTTAACAGTACCTCAGTGAAAAAGAATTAGGTTTTACATGAGGGTAAAAAAAAAAAAAAAAAAAATCCATGATCAATTAAACTTGGGACTTACAGGATAGACAAATGGACAAAATCAAATGGATTTCTTTAGTATAGGGTCTTGCATAGACTTTAATTCACTAATATGCATGTGGATCTCTCATTTGAATTATGGACATGGCATATTTCCCAATTTCACCAGAAAGGATCCCCTTTACTTGTGGAACATCTCTGGGAGGGTCATCTTTCTCAGTGTACTTTGGGAGGGACTCCCTATTGGGACATAGCCTATTTTACCGCTGCCTCAACAGGGGTCCAGACTGGGCAAAAGGTACAGCAGAGCGGGGGCCTGTGATGCCCTTCCCTGCTTGGATACAACAATGCCCTGTGCTCAGGATCTGTCTCCAAGTCCATTCCTGCCTGGCTCCACTGGCATTGACTGAAGAGGAAAACAGGAATGGCCTGAAAATTGATATATGTTATCCAACCCATCCACTTCCCCTCACTGCTCCAGCCTACCAAAAATCAAACCAAACTCATTCACTGCCATTGAGTCGATTCAGACTCATAGTGACCCTATAGGACAGCATAGAACTGCTCCATAGAGTTTCCAAGGCTATAATCTTTACTGAAGCAGACTGCCACATCTTTCTCTTGTAGAACAGTTGGTGAGTTTGAACCACTGACCATTCAGTTAGCATCTGAGCACTTTAATCACTGGGCCACCAATGCTCCTTTCTGCAGCACACACTGTAGGTGAATTGTCAAATGACACTCAGCGGTCCTGTCTGTAGAGCCACTACTCATCCTTCCAAAGAGCCATAAATCATGAAGAGGCTTTTGCGTTAAAAATATACCTTTTGGAATATTTCATATTAATTCTTCCTAGACAGTGTCAAATCATAGGAAAAGGAAGGTGAAAAGCTAATTTCAGATTCTGGAGCTAATTAGCTCTCCTATCGTGTGTCTCTGGAGTCCCAGAGTAGTTGGTGCAAATGGTTAAGGCTCCATTAGTAACAGAAAGGTTGGAGGTTTGAAGCCATTCAGTGGCACTGGTGAAGACAGGCCTAGCCATCTGCATCTGAAAGGTCACAGCCTTGAAAACCCTATAGGAACAATTTTACTCTGCACACAGGGGATCTCCATGAATTGAAGTGGACCAGATGACAACTGGTTTATTTGTTTGTTTAATCATGTGCTTCCAGGACAGTGTAACAGGTACAGTAGGGGAGATTAGTGTTAGGCTCCCTTTCTACAGGCTCTGAACCAGAAAAGATTTTAACTGCAGCAGAAAGCAAGACCATCCAGTAAAAGAGACATTCTTGTAGCAGAATTCACCTAAACTCTCCTCTACTGGGACTGAGATAAGGTTTTCCAGTCCAGAGCAGGACACTCCCATTAGTAGCTTGGCCAAAAAGCTCTGTAAAAGGAAAGTCAGCATTCCAGTTTGCAGAACCTCATTTGATCCTCCAAGAAGGAAGGTGGCCTGCTCCTGTGTGGTGGGCAGGGAGACGTCAGGGCTCTGAGTCACATCAGACGCACAATGGCCGCTGAAAGGGGCTCCGAGGACTAGGATGAAGACTTGTTCCCTGTCCCCACCCCCACCCACACAGCCTCAGGCCGGCGCCTCCTACACCAGCTGTGACACAAGATGATGCTCTTCCTTTTCGCCCACCTCCCAGGCTGGCTGGAGCTGCAGGATCATGGCCTGAAGAGTTTCCTTTACCGTCTGCAGCTCGGTCCTGAGAGACTGTGCGTGTTGTTAAGGAAAATATTCGAGGCGGGCTCCCAGCACTGTGTGCCTGCCAGAAGCAGATGGGCACTGCCATCTAATTGCATTTTCAAGTTCTTCCAAATTATAAGAATTAAATATTAATACAGATTTTACATTTCTTCTTTTAAGAACAAGTGTAATTTCCACAAGGCTTGAGGTTATTGGCTGCCTGAAGTAAGGTTTCAAAGAGGAAAAGGAAGCTCTTAGACTGATAGATGGCCAAGTAGGATGTTGTTCAATGTAATTACCCCAAATTGGGGCAGCTGTCAGATCCAAGTACTCTTTTAGGTCAAAGTGTCAGAATGCTTGAAAACAGAACTTCCTCCAGAGAGCAAGGATCTGAGGCCACCATTGGTAGTTGTGCCTAAGCCACTTGACTGCTAACAAGAAGACTGGTGGTTCAAACCCACCAGCGACTCAGAGGAAGGAAGGTTGGGCAATCTACTTCCATAGTGATACAACCTCGTAAACCCAAGGAGGGATCACTATGAGTTGGGTCTGACTCCATGGTACGTAACGACAACAACATTGGTACTCAGAGGCACATTGGATTCAGATTCATGAGTTCTGGTCCTTACTTAGCCATTAAGCAGACCTGAAGCTTGTGCAAGTCACTTTGGACCTCAGTTTTTTAATGAAATGATGCCTTCTTAACCTCTATAAGCTCAAACTTGATGTGTTTTGTTATTATACTCCCAGGTACTAGCCTCCAGGGTACACAAGATTTGATAAAGTAGGACAGGGGGGTAGGCTTGCATTTTCTGTTTGTTTTCCCTTAAACCAGTGAGGTTTTCATTTCCTAGTCTGTAAAGCGATTTCTCACATAGAGAAAGCAATCATAGAGAACTTTGCAAATAGTAATCTATAATAAATAAGGCTGTCATTCTGTTAAGAAACAGGCTCTCTTGTGGATTTTTAAGCAGAGAAAGTTTAACCAACAGTAGTTTTTCTGTCTACACATAGTAAGATTCTGTTGCCCTCTCCTTTTGTAACTGTGATCAGAATAACTCTAAGAGAAGTACATGATAAGAGATTGAAATCCTGTAATTTAACAAACAACTAATTCATCCTTTCATCCCACAGGAACAAAAGGAAAAGTGAAAATTTGTTGACACTCCTGTTAAATCATCAGACTAGGTCCCATCACTTGAATGTTACTAGATCATATACAGAGAAAACTCCAAAAACTTTGGGGAAAGTAGCTTGCAGAGATCTTACTGCTTTTAGGCCATCTACAATGCTACTTTATTTAAGTACAATGTCACACAATGTCAAGAGAAAAAGACACCCTCAGGTTATGACTGTAGAAAGCTTCCCTTTCTTTTTTAGACAAAAATGCCAGAGGATCATGTGAGTTATGCAAATGAGTCTCTCCTAGACAGAAATGCTGAACCACCCCGAAAAGCCTTTGGCAGCTTTTCTTTCTCTGGAAGCTTCACCAGACTTCAACATGTATATAATTTACATAAATATGGTAAGATGGTTTGCGTTTTGCACTTGAACTTGAGAAGAACTAGGGTGGGATGGGGATGCAAGGGAGGATGGAATCCAATATTTGTCATTTTTTCCCTTTTTGTAGAGGCTTCATTTTGCCCTACTTCTTTGGACAGTTTGGTTAATCTTTCGTGAAAACACATAGGACTTTATAAGCAAAAGCATAAGTGGTCCCAGACCAAATACTGGGCTACAATTTAATCACAAAGTTATGCTACATTTATAAAGAGCAAGCATGGAGCTTAAGCAGTTTATGAATCCTGACAAACTCCTGAGGTTTAATTACCTTTGATATGCAGCCTGCGACTACATGCTGCTTTTTGTAATATGCTAAATGATTACAAAGGTTTTAGAGAGAAAAATCGAGCCAAAGTGAGATGCTTCTTGAAAAAAACTCATAAAATTTCTGACAGTGGCAGAAAAAACTAAAAAAAAAAAAAAAAAAAGAGCAAGAAAGAGAGAGAGAGAGAGAGAGGGAGAGAAACAAGAGAGAAGCACATTGTAGTAATGGACTGTTAAATAACAAAAAACACTTTTGCCCCTCACTACAACAATCTCTGCTACACTTAGAATTGGAAGATCTGGATTTGAGATGCAACTCACCAGCTGTAGAAAACTGGGCACATCATTGAATGCTTTATTTGTTTCACTTGTAAAATGTAGATTCTACTGCCATCTTCACAGGGTTAGAGTTAAAAGCAGTATTTTTTTCCTTATGGGAGTATGGTGCCTTCTGTGAGGCACCAGGAAATGTAAGGTTTGTTTACTAACTTGACAGATAGAACAAATGCTCTAGGTTCTTCCTAAGCAGGTCCAAACATCAGAAATCCTGGACCTCAGTCAATAAGCCTATAGTTTCATTCTAATCAAAATAATTAAATTTATGTTTTTATTTACAAAATACCTCTTTTTAGCCAACCCATCTACATTATTCCTTACTAAATGTGAATTCCAAAACATTTTGGAAGTACTGAAAAGCAAAACTTCAGGCAAAAATATGGAGTTAAAAAAAGTCAAATTGTAGAACAATTTGAATGGAAGGATTCTAATTTTGCAAAAAAGAGAGAGAGAGATTATAAAGATATACCATTTAGACCTAGAAAAAATGTCTTATGAGGACATACTGGTGAGTTCTGGTTATCAGTACTGGAGAGAGGTTTATCCTTTTTAATCCGTACTTCTATAATATTCATAATGGACCTGTAAAAAAAAAAAAAAAACCTGCCATCAAGTCAGAACCATCTCCTAGCAACCCTTCCTTGGGTCTCCAAGGCAATATCACTACAGAAATAGATTGCCCCATCTTCCTTCCAAGGAGTGGCTGGTGAGTTTGAACCACCAGCCTTCGCGTTAGCAGTCAAATGCCTTAGGCACTATGCTACCAGAGGTCCCAATGGACCTGTATTACATCCAAATTTAAATCATATTTATACAATAATACAGCTTAAACATTTTCCCATTAACCAGTGAAGGAAATGACAATGTAGAGACCCTTGTTCATTCATTCGTATCTTCAAATATTTACTGAGCTTTTATGATGTGCTAGGATATCGTAGCATAGTGCCTAAAGCACTTGACTGCTAACCATAAGGCTGGCGGTTCAAACCCACCAGCCACTTGTCAGAAGGCAGATGGGGCAATCTACTTCCGTAGTGATACTGCCTCGGAAACCCAAGGAGGGGTCGCTATGAGTCGGGTCCGACTCGAGGGCACATAACAACAACAACAACAAGATATGTTCTGGGCACTGGCAGTACAGGAGTGAACTAAACAAAGTCACTGATGGCATGGAGTTTGAAGACTAGTGAGAGGAGCAGAAAGTAAACACACAAGGACATGTATGCACTATGTCCTGTGGTGATAAGTGCTGAGGAGTGAGCTGGAAACTGAGGAGGGTTTGGAAAAGAGGGGTGGCATGATTGTTCTGGCTGCCATGTTGAGAATAGTTTAAAGGAAACAAGGGCAGAACATAGACAAGTTAGGAGTTTATTGCAATAATTCAGGCAAGAAAAGACCATGGCTTGGACAAAATGGTTGCAATGGAAGTGCTGAGAAGTAGTCAGATACTGGATATATTTTGAAAATACACTCAATAGCATCTGGTGATAGATTGGATGTGGAATGTGAAAGAAAGGCATCAAGGAGGATGCCCAGATTTTTTATCTGAACAATGAACTAGGAAAGGAGACTAGTAATTTATTGAGATAGAGAAGACTAGTGGCACAGTGCCTAAGGCATTGACTGCTAACCAGAAGACTGGCATTTCAAAACCACCAGCCACTCCTTGGAAGGAAGACAGGCAACATACTTCCGTAAAGATTTACCACCTCTGTAAGCCAATGGGGATTGCTATGAGTCAGAACTGACTTGATGGCAGTGAGTTTGGTTTTTTTGTTTTGTTTTGTTTTAATGGTGGGGAGAAGTAGAGGGGAGATTTGTTTTGGGACATGTTAATTATGGAAGCTTATTAGTCAGCCTTGTAGATATGTTGAGTAGGAAATAAATATGATATATATATATATGTATATTTGGAGGTACATTTGGTGCAATTTGAAAAAGTTGAACCAAACAAGTATTTTTTTATTATGTTCCTAAAGAGATATGATACTTGTACATGTGCCTGGATGTATTTAGAGTCCTTGCATGCCATCATGCACCACCAAAACGAATCAGTCAGGCACCATGCATTTCAAATAAGCAGGGCGAATAGAATGCCATCAGGGTTTCCCAGACATCGATGTAAATAGAAAACCGCAAATAGAATCAGTCTGCCTCATCTCACCTATTAATCAGAGGCAGGTAGAACTGTCCTGGGGGCTTTCCTGGGTGTTGAAACATGCCAAAAATGTCCAAATCATAGGTGTACTTTTTTTCTTTGAAAGTGTGTTGTAGATGTTGAAGAAGGAAAAAATAAGAAAACTTTGCATAAGCATCTAGATGGTTTTCAGGTAAAGCTTTTTGAATGTGGAGGAATTAGTACACATGTTCAAAATAGCTATCAAAACATAGCTGTTAATTAAGAACCAAAATGACTGTGAAATTGTACTAGGGATTCAAATGAATGCTCCCAGGAACCTGAGACTGACTGTCAGTGAAGTAACACTCCTGTCCTCTCCTCAGACACCAGGTGTGAGTCACTGTAATGCCACTGGCTCCCAGTTAATGGTGCAGACTGTGTTCAGACACTCACTACATGGAAGCTGATGCATTTGTGCTATTATTTGGTCATACTATATGTAATTTACTGGACCTGTCAGGATGATGAAGAGACATAACCTGTTTGCTCCTCTCCTCAGATTTGTCAAACCAGTGGCTTTTATGTAAAAACAAAAGGCTCCCAGCAGACTACCCCATAACTCCGATATTAAGTCAGATTGCTAATGGGACCTGTTTGGAAACTGAACCCCACTGCCAATCACTAGCCCACCTTTCTGTCTAGACCACACTGACAAGGCTGACTTACATGCATGACTTGTACGAACACAGTGCTTTCTACAGGAGGAATTATAAACCATAGCACCCAGGGCTTGAATTTTCTAATGTGAACTTACATTAATTGGGTTTATTCTGTATTGTAGGCATAGTAGGTTTTGGCAGAACACTTAATGGCATCAAACAAAATACTACATTTGCAATTCTTTAGTATTGTAGGAGGCAATGTGTTTCTTTCAACTATGTTCAGCTTTGTATCTTTGATCAAAAATGGAAACACAGACCAGGAAGAGTTTTGTTGGAAGAGTTTGGGAGCCTTTTTGAATCTCTAGATAAATTCTAATGTGAAACAAGGGCTTTGGTTTGTGTAGAGGTGCATCCACAGAGTCTAGTAAATACGTTTTTCTATCTTAGGGCACAATGTTCCACTCAAATCTAAGAGTCTCTGTCTACAAATTCAAAGATACTGTTTATGCATTTATTCTTAATTAGTAACACAACATAGCCTGGGCTTCAAAGAAAAGTCTAGGTGGAAATCCCCATTGTTGGGTAGATTTTGGGAGGAGAGAGGGTTCTAACTTTGATACGTAAACCAGTTTTGACCCGTCCCAGTATGTCTCAGTTATCTCAGCAAGGATCAACAAAATTCTCTAAAAGAAAGAAAAGAAAAAAAAAAATTACACTTCAATGAAATACCTTTACTATAGCTTAAAATTTTAAAAGTAACTGTATGTTCCACAGAACAAACATGTCCAATTACTTATAGGCAGAACTTCCTTCTCATGCGCCAAGGAGGATGCCTGGGCTTGCAGCTGAATTCTGCCATTTGTTAGAAATGACCTTGCACTGGCCAAGTAACCTCAAAGCCTCAGTTTTCTCAACTGTCAAGTAGGATAATAATCCCTATCTATAGCATTTTTATTAGAACTAAATGATTTTTCATATAAGCCATTGTGTGCTTACTGATTGATACATTCAAGCATTTAGCACAAAATAGTTGAATCAACACACCTTGAAAATCTCTTACTAATAAGGGTGATATTATTTGAACTTGTGACACAGCCTCTAAAAGGATGAAACAAATGGATTTAGAGGACATAGTGTTCTGCCCAAGATAATAAGAGCTCTGATAGACCAAGAACTACTACATAGCAGAATTATGTTAAACATACTTTATGAATATAGCTTAATTTAACCACCATGAAAACCCTAGAGGTATGCATCCTGATGTTGCAAATAAGGAAGTTGATGCTAAAGGAGTTTTTGTAACTTGTCTATAATCCTGTGCTACTAGATCTTGCTTAGATCTGCTGTGGGAAAAGTAAAAGGGTCTCTTTTAAACACTGCTCTGTTCCCTCTCAGCCTCCTCCATGCCTCCTCAGTTCTATTAAAGAGGAAATCCAATTCCCTGGAATCAAGCCAACCTTCCAGAACACTTCAAAATAAGAGAACAACACAGACTATCACTGCAGCTCTCAGGACTGTGACATGACTCACTCAAGCCAGAGTGAGATTCAGCCCCTTCAGGGATGATCCCCTATTCCATGCTGGGGCCACAGCCTCCTTTATGTCCACTACCTCTCTGCACTTCTTTGTTCCCATGTCCCCAGAAACAAATAGTCATACGTCCATTCACTGGTAAACTTGACCCTTCAGTAGTGCTCAAATCTGTGTGACCTCGATGAACGTAGTACAAAAATTTAATCCTTCTTCTACCATTTCTTTGGGCAACTTCCTAATAATTGCTTAAATACTACTTTTGCAAGAGGCAGAAAATTACGAAGAACAGAATGTCTACCTTTAAAGAACCACCTTCAGCAATGTGAAAATAATCACTGATTAAGTTGAAGAAATTTCCTGCTATGTTTAATAAGCAAGGTCAAAGATTTAAGGTCATAATAAAGAAATTGAATTCATCATTATATCATGGCTCTGAATACTTGTGACTAAGATTAATCCCTGACCATTCAAAGATACTTACACATACACACACAAACAAACACACACGATAAATTCTGGCAAGGATTGAAATGCTAAAAAGTATGGCAGCAATGAAAAGCAGAGACTAAAATAGCTACATTTTCCACAAATACATTCTAATAAAAGCTAGTACTACTGAAGAGAAAGGAATGAACAGGGAAATGTTTTTAGCTGCAGAACTGCCAATTTGTGATTAAACAACTGGAAAGAGAAGGGAGGAAACATCCCTTCATCCATCTGTGTATCCACCCATCTGCCCTCAAAAGAACTAACCTGTGACAAACAAACTATCAGGTAAAAATGGAATACATAGTGCTTGTTGTTGTTGTTATGTATCGTCGAGTCAGACCCGAGTCATAGCAACTCCTCCTTGGCTTTCCAAGGCGGTATCACTACAGAAGTAGATTGCCCAACCTTTCTTCCAAGGAGTGGCTGGTGGGTTTGAACTCAACATGAACCTTCTAGTTAGCAGTCAACTGCCTTAGGCACTATGCTACCAGAGCTCCTACATAGTGCTTAGTGTGAATATATACCTAAGCCAATGTATTCTAATGCCATCTTTCTCACTGGCAGCTAGTTTTGATAAAGGAATTTGCAGATATGACACCAAGGATATTGAATCTAGTGGAAGAATATCCTATTGTTAGGAATCTTGAGGACTAGATTGAGTCTACACATAGTTAGAAATGGAGAATGGATGGTCCAAAATTCTATGTTTTGATACTCTGCTACCTGTTATATTTCAGAATTGCACACTGAAAAAAATTTATATATATATATATATATATATATATATTTATTTTTTTATTTATTTATATATTTGAAGATGGATTTTGGCTTCTTGGTATTGAGAAAATTGACAAAATTGAGCTCATCACATGTTTTGGTTCAGATTCTTTCATTCATAGCCACATAAACCCAGCTCTAAGCCCATTGAAAAACTGCATTTTGCTTTTGTTTCATTGTGTGTATGTCTGAAATTCATGCTTACTCTTTCATGGTCATATTTAATAGTCAAAAATATTTAATTCCTTACTGAAAACCAGAGAGGAAACAATGAATATGGAACAATATCAGAGATCTGAGGTGTGCTCTGCTATAAATAGCAGCTGCATCTATTTGTTTCAATTTGCAGAGACATGGGATAATGGTACTTCCTAAGATCGTCTTTTACAAAATACCAACTTAGAAGGTGTTTAATCTGCAAGATGAAAAGGATATGAATAAGATCTTCATCATGACTATGAATCGCTGTGTGAAGCTGATCTTCTAAGTACAATAACTTCTTGCCTATAGCTTCACATTTTTCTCCAAGTTCTTCAGAAAGGATGTAAGACTCCTGGCCAGAGAAAAGAAAAAAAATCATTGTCAGCTGTAGACTTTCTCAGGGTAGGAACAGAGACAATAATTGGTTGCACACAAAGGGATGATTTCCCAGCAGAATATTCTCAGCTTCAGCTCCTCAGTCAGTACCTTTGTCCTCCCTGAAGGTCATTTTTGAGAAGACATGAACCAAATGATGAACTGTGTCTACAAAACTCCACAGGCTATCTTTCTTATATGGTCAATTCAGTGTGCAAATTCTAATGTCAGTTCCCAACATGGATTTCCAGCTGTACCTCAAGCAAACTAACAATGTAATAGGAATTCTAACAAAAGGAAAGAGGGCACAGGGCTTACCTAGAAGGTCAAAGGGATACCTTTAGGGGCACAGACATCTAATAGAGCACTGAATAGTGGTTTTCTCACTGACCACAGTCTCTGAAAACTATTTAGGAGAGTTCAAATGCCATGGGTTGTGTGTTAAGTATATAGCCACCACTGTGACCACCATAGATCTGTGACACCAGGTGTCTCCCTCACTGGAATGCAAGCCTATAAGGACAGAGATGATGAGTTTCCACAGCTCCTGGCACAGGGCCTGGCACACAGCAAGCACATGGTATTCATTGGTTGGATTCATGAACTACTGAGCCTTGGAGATCTCTCGTTCTCTAATGCTTCTCCTTCACATTTATATCCCACCCACCAGCCAGAAAAGTATCCTTTTTACATTACTTTTCTGCTCAAAATGACCACAGAGCAGAGTCCAAACTCTGCCCTTTTGTGACCTGGATCTAGTTACATCCTCTCTATTCTTCAATATACAATCTAATTTCTGCCAACTGGACTAACTCCATCGTCTTTCTTCACACTATTCTTCCTGTCCCACCCTTCTTCTCCCTTCCACTCTCTCCTGAAAGCCAGTCTTTTCTCCAAGGTCTCAAAACAGTAATTCCACCTTGAATTATAATGATTCTGATGTGTTCCATGTCTGCTTGAGTAATTGTAAGCTCCTTTTGGGCATACAGGGAACTCTAGTAGCACAGTGGTTAAGCATTTGGCTGCTAACCAGAAGGTTGCCGGTCCAAACCCACCAGCTGCTCAACTGGAGAAAGATGAGGCAATCTGCTTCCATAAAGATTTAGAGCCTTGGAAACCCTACCTGACAGTTCTACTCTATCCTATAGGGTAGCTATGAATTGAAATTGACTCCATGGCAGTGGATTTATGGGCAAGAGTTGTGAGTTAGTCATTCATGTCAAGGCAGCACCAAGTAAAATGTTGGTAAATAAAAGGTCACACATTTTTAAAAGAATGTAATAAGCAATATCAAGAAAATGAAGAAAGAAAATAGGTAATCTTGTAATAAAGGGAAAGGAAAAGAGAAGCACAAATGAATTAAACTTAATCACATGTATAAGTAGAAATTCCCCAACTAATAATGAAAGACAAGGTATACAAAAAAGAATTTAGCCTGAAGGAAAGAAAGTATATATTTAAATCAAACTTCAGGGTTACTACAAAAGTTTCAATTAATGTCCAACAATAACAACAAAATGCCTAGATGTGGTAATACTCTGTTTAAAAGACTTTAGAGATCTTGAGCAATATCAGAGTCCATTAATAATAAGATAATCTAGATATGTGATTTAACATTTTCTACATTTACTTTGTTGTTGTTAGTTGCCATCAAGTTGATTGCAACTCATGGTGACAGTGTATATCCCAAATGGTCAACCATATTAGAATACAACTGTTAATGGGAGCTATTGTAAGTACTAAGGAACTCTGGTGGTGCAATGATTAAAATATTTGGCTGTTAACCAAAAGATCAGCCATTCAAAACCACTAGCCACTGCACAGGAGAAAAATGAGGCAGTCTGCTTCTGTAAAGATTGGAATCCCTATGGGACAGTTCTACTCCATCCTATAGGGTTGCTATGAGTAAGAATCTATTCGATGGCAGTGGATTTTGTTTTGTTTTGTAAGAATTGGTGAGATCTAATATGCAAAATGTAAATGTACATACAAGACAAAAGAAATCTAGTGACAACAACATATAATTTTGAGGATATATGGATGCAGCTAAACAAGAAGCCATGTAAGTCACGGGGAAGTTTGTTCACAATGGGCCATAGCAGTAATGATGAGAAGACAGAAAATGCATAAAAGTCACATGTACATTTACACTTTAATATAAATGCTCCTAGAAGTCATAACGAGAGGGACCGGGTCTCCGGGAGCAAGGTAAGCACGGGCGGGCTTGTGCTTAGTAACCGGGAGCAAGGTAAGCACGGGCGGGCTTGTGCTTACTCACTGATCTGCACTGAACACTTTCCCTTGTTACCCTCCTGAGAGGGACCGGGTCTCCAGGAGCAAGGCAAGCACGGGC